TAGGGATGCGAAGAGTTAACAAGACTATTGTTATTAAAAATAAGGTGAAATATATGGTGATGCTGAATAGTTCGAGACGGGTAACTGTGAAAGTTCGTTCTGCGGATAAAGATAGGTATAATATTTAAACTAAATATTTCCAAAATATTAATTTATGTCTTTATTATTTGAATTTATTTAAAATTAATGTCACAACATGCATAGATTTTCAGGCGAACTAAACTGGCACCTTCAGAGGTCGTGATACTTTATTAAAAATACCATCGGTTTTGTGAGGCAACATGCTGAATTAGTTCGCAGTGATAGTAAATGACTTCAATGATGCATGTTCAGGAACTCAATCTGTCAGTATAACATTTCATCTTCCTGAAGAGATAAAATCAATGGCTACTCCCAAACCGCCGAGTTGAAAAATCAGGTATGTTATTTTGTTGAGGTAAAAATGTGAGCACATCCACATGAACATTTTATTTAATTGTAGAGGATTGTTAATTGTCTTTTGAATTTTATATAATAAAATCATTAGTAAAATACCTCAGTGGAGTTTTGACATTAGAACCTGTAAAATTTAAAGAAATTGTAGCCGAAGATTTCCACAGCTACAATTTTGCTGCCTTTTGGGCAGTCGGGATCCAAGGTGACGAAATAATTTTTTTATCCTAGGTGGAAATTAACGTGTTCTTTTGTCTCCCTTTCCAAGCAAGGTGACCATAGAAACACTTTCGATGCATTTTGTAGTGATCATGAAGAATCACACAAACTAAGCTACCGAACACAACCACCGCAAATATACTGCGTATACATGTATGCACACACCACTCCCACATGCGCTCGCACAGCACTCCCCCACGCGCTCGGCACACCACTCTCGCACGCGCCGCACACCACTCTCGACCGCGCTCGCACACCACTCATCGACGAACCATCCACACACTGTTGTACAACCCCGCACACCACTCTCGCACGAACCCCCCACACTGTACACACAGCACACCACTCTCGAAACGGAAACCACCGCACACACTTGCGGGGCACACGCCCACACACTTACGCACGCGCACCGGGCCACCACACACACACACTTACATAACACAAACCGCATACTTACTTGTGCAACAGACTTGCGCATAACTCACCGCACTTACTTGCGCACCCCACTTGCATACACCCGCACATTACCTTGCGGCACCCCACACTTGCATACACACCGCACACTTATACTTGCCACCCCACACTTGCATACACCACGGCACACGTCTTTGCACACACATCCGCACACATTTGCACACACATCCCCGCACACATTCTTGCACACACAACCGGCACACATTCTTGCCACACACCACCGCACACACCACTCTCATGCGTGGCACATGCTTCATCCAAGCAGCAAACATTCACACAATGTGCACACACACCCACACATGCTCCAATATTATATATATATATATATAATATATATATTATAATATTATAATATATATATATCATATATATATATATATATATATATATATATATAATATTATAATATATTATATATATATATATATATAATATATCATAATTATATAATATTATATATATATTATAATATAATAATATATAAGTTGCACAAGCATGTTCCTCATAATATTAAGAATAAATAGTTCCTTCACTTTTTGCCCTTGGAAAACTGTTAAAAGTATTTTTGGTAACATTCCAATTTCACCACTACCAGTATGTTACCAAAACTCAGCATGCCTTTACATGATTATGCTGTTGTAGACTTTGTCATTTGCGAACAACCAGTTCACTGCAGTTGAGAAAGCATCTGCGAAATTGGGTGTAGTCACTGAGGCATGCAATCAAAGGCTGTCATGATATGAATCTCTCTTCCATCAATTTACAATTTTGTATTTTTCATCATTTGTATCCATAAAAAGTATATATTTTTCTTCTGCAATACATACAGTTATAAATCGCCTCAGTGCTTTGACTCGTATTAATCACAACATTCTGGAAGTTGAAGAGAAATGGTCTAGAAACTCCTCTGTAACAGGAAAGTGAGTCTCAGAAAAAAATGACGTAAGAATCTCCTCTTCCTCTTCTAACATAAAAACATGATCTTCTAGAGGTAGAATCAAATCAGGTATCAAATAGAAATTTGCAGTATTAAAGGAGGTCATAAAATTCATAAATGTGTGTATGAACTTTTTTTTTTACATAGCATTTATGATTTTATAAATTACTTGATGCTTATTGACTGTTTTCCTTTAGGTCATGTCCCACATTATGCCCATGCTTGACCAGCTAGCTTCCAAAGCTCATGTTGAAGTTCTCATACTTAGCGTAGAAATGTCTGTGGTAAAAACTTTAGTATCCACTCTTGATCTTGATTCTGACCAAGAGTTTCAGAGGAGTGTTAGTCTCGTATTTGAAAGGTTAGTTAATAAACACTTAATTTTCTGATAACTATTTTTCTTTTCATTTAAATTCTTTTATTAAGCCTGTTAGATAAAAAACAAATTCTGAGATTGGTTTCAATGTTACAGAAATACACACCACAAGAAGTACATTAAGAAAGTCTGTGATGAGATCGGAGAAATGAGACTGAAAAACAAAAATCCTATTTTTGTGTTGTATAGTTCTTTGGATAGCAACTTCAAAGTACTAATGTGAAGGTAAAAACTTTATTCAATTGAATGAAATCTTTGTTGGTCTTTGCACCGATTGATTTTAGTTGATCTGTACATTTCAAATTTGTTGCAGGTACGATATCTGTTTAGTGATTCCTATTAACAAAGTCTTTTCAATGTGTATTTGGTTAATAATCATTGTTGGAAAAAAGAAAAGAAAAATGTCGAAACAAGTGGAGAGTTGTTATGCATCAGTTGTGCCAATTTTTCAGCACTAGCTGGAACTACTTAGACTGTACAGCATAAGCATTTTAGTTCTTTAATTTTCAATAATTTTTGCAAAAATGTTGGCTCCTTAGTACAGAAAAATTGTATTGTAATGATGTGTAGTAATTTTCCTCATGAGAACTCTCTCTATAAAGTACAAAAGAAAAACATATGAGATGCAAAACAGTTTATATTATACTAAAGTTTATTTGAAAGCAAATTGAGACACACACATATTACTGTAAGTGAAGTATTTAATTAACTTTGTGAAAGTAGTTCTGTAATTTGTGTAAGTAAGTCTGATTTTGCAATGTGTAATGCTTTCAAGTTAGGTGAAGTTCTTGCCTTTAAGTGATTTGTTTCTTGGAGACTTTCAAGACTTTCCTTTCAGAGAAAGACAAAACGCAAGCAAAGAAAGATTACATTTAGTCAATACCTAACTTGAATCTATAAAAATGGTTATTTTATGTGCCTCCAGTTGATGCTATTTGCAAATACATTGGAATAAATGCATTTGAAATCAATTAAGGAGTTGATTTGTTTCAAATGGATGTTTTCTTGCCATACTTTTGAAGGTCTCCATATATAAAACCTATTTTATTGTGATCTACTTTGAACTTCCTTGCACTACTGAAAAATATTTTTATAATTCAATGTTTAAATTAAGGTGAGCTCAATATTAATTCTGCTTCATGCAAGGAGCCACTGGTGCTTTTTTATCATGTTAGACGTAATGTCATTATAAGATTTCATTTGATATAATTTTTTTGCAGAAACATGATGGAATGATTTATTTAATTACAGTGAAACCTACTAAAACAGCCATTACCTGTAAAAGCAGTCACCTCCATTAATGGCTATTTTTTTAATCATTTTCTTCATAGGCCACATGTGAATATTCCCTCTTTAAGTTTTCAGTTGTCCCAAGATCACCAGCTTCACATTTTGTTCATTAACCACAATAGATAGTTTTACCTTTTTTTAATATTTTGAGTTGCAATATAGAAGCAGAAGAATGGTGTAAATTACTGTCGAATCAGTATCTTCCTGAGCCCAGATACATTATCAGATTAATTAGAACAGTGATATCTAAATTTTTGTCAGTAGTGATATCAAATTTTTTACAGTAAGAGTAATTTTTGTTTCTGATATCAATGGATGGTTTTCTTGTATTCTCTCTGGGTGTGAATTGCAGCTTCAAGCCTAGTTGGGAATCAAAACTTTGAATGGGATGAAGCAAATAGTGGTGTGAGAAAGAAAGAAAGAATTAATTGATTTTGAATACAAATTTTTAAGTGTAAAAGTATGTACAAGTGAATCACATTGCATATCATATCATAACGCTTCATTGCAAATAGCAAATTTTAGTAGTGACCGTTTTAAGACAGGTTTCACTGTAGTTGTTATAGAAATGTAATATGTGCCATTTATACAGAATAGTTATAGCATTTGGCACCTTTAATGAGAATTTTTTGAAGTTCCCTCATCAGACTGACTTGTATATCATTAATTTGAACAAGTATTATGGGATGTATTTATCAGTCTGTTAACTATTTTAAAATTAACGAAATAACAGGGATTTATTGTGATTGTTTAAAATATTGATATTTGTGCTTATTATTTTGTTCACTGATTCAAGCCAAATTGATGGTTACATAATCTTAAGCAGGTATTTTAAAATTGTATGGTATAAAACATATGATAACTGATTCAATGCTTTGGAATATAATCACTCCTAGGATGTATTTGTACTTGCTGGAATTTCTTGCTAAAAATGCCAATGAAAATCAAATATAGAATCAAAATGTTATTTGGAAATACTGTATTAATTACTAAAAAGAACTGTGAATTTGAAACGTTATTGATCATAATTGTTATTTTTGCCTACTGTTTTTCCATATACAGTGTACAATAGTGATGAGGTGTTTGTGAGTTCATTAAACTTATTGACTGATTCATTTTTTCCATAGAATAAGAAAAGTGTAACCAAAACTTTTTTACAAAATGCCTCGCAGAGCATACAAAACAGTGAAACAAACACGATACCCGAAAATAACTTTTATACAAATGAAGTGGAGCTATTTTCATTGATATAAGCAGTGAAGTAATTGAATCATTTCAACAGTACGTACTTGGAAAGACGGCAAAATGACTGAAAGAATCAAGGAAAAGTCATCTTCATAGGCCTTTTTATGGACTTATCACACACTTTTGTTACTTGTAATATCTTTATAATGTTCAGACAAACTCATATGAACCCTTATAAATATTCTTATAAAACATTAAAAGGTAATATAGATGAATGTTTTGGCTCATATTGTGTTGGAAAGTTTGTTTACAGTTGCCTACTTGCGGCATTAAGCCATGTGTTATAAGAATGAATGCTTTCTGAAGATATTATAGAGAGTATCACTGAAGTTACCTTACCATCTGCTCCTGAATGTTGAGAAACAAGAAGCAGTTAATTTCTAGATTAGTTTGGAAAATTATTTTCAATATTTTTTATGCTGCAGATATGTTGGTTTAGAACTTCCAATACTTTTTGTGGTCATTAATAGCTATAAAAGATCTGTGTTGTGTATTAAAATATACAATATTAATGTTGGCAGCCAGAGTCCATGTATTGTATTAAAAACTTACATGTGCTATTGTGTATAATAATAAAAAGCAGAGAGTTGATTTACTACAGAAGTTGATATAAAGTGCAAAACATATATTTCTTTATCAATTTAATTGGTATTTTATGTTATTTAACAAATAAATTGTATCTGTTGTATCACATTTAGAGCAGTATTGCATAAAATCAAGGTGCTCTAGATGGAAAAATTTACCAATAAAGAAGCATGGTTAGTCATGTAAAGAGAACATCAATGACAAAATAGACTAATTTTTTTCTAAAAGTTTAATAGACGCTACTAATTGTATGCTCAAGTTTCCCTGATGGATTTAATAATGATTCTTAAAAAATGTTTGTTGAAATTCAGTTGCAGTTCTCATAACAGTAGCTGAGAATATTAATGGGCATGTTGTGTAAAATTTACCAAAATTGGCTCTGATCACATAGTCCAGGTAAGATTAGTGTATAATTAGTATTATTAACTTTTTTAGTGCTATATTTTACTCTGCAGTCAGTTTTGTTATTTTTACATAAAAATGTATGCAGATATTGCTCTAATTGTGTCGTTTTTTGTTTTTTTTAAATTTGCATGGCTGCCAATATTTTGTATCTTTGATACAAAGACTTGTGCTTCAATTAGGCATCCAAAGAATTTAGGTCTGAGCTGCTTTCAATTTTATACAGTAGTAACAATAATTTGTCAGTGAGGAATTTATAGCATTGTTACATATAGTTGCATTTGCCAAAGTGGCATTATTTTGAATTGTGTTTGAATGTTTAAGACTAGAACTAGTGCATTCGTAGTATTGAGGATGTGTGTAATGAGAGATGTCATCAAATTGATCTCACATAGTAGTACATTATACTCTGTTCTCTTTCTGTTTAATTTTTTAAATTTCAGTGAATGTTTTCAAGCACTTGGTTTGTTTGGTACACAGAGGTGCCTGATATATCTTGTGTGGTCTTACCTGTGTGAAAAATTTATCAGGCATCTCTGTTATCAAAAGTTTGGTATAATATATTTTTATTACTGTTGAAAAAAACTTTTTTTTTTCTATTCTGATTTTACATTTTTGTAATAAAGTTTGTATAAAATTGACAAAGTGGTAATCTTTTTCTTACCAATCTCCATTTCTGGCAATTTTTTGGAATTGTCAAGATTCTTTATGAAATGATATGGTGGCATGGTGAATCTCATCAGACAGTGACTGAATCTCTATGAAAAAGCAATTACGATCCAGGAGTGCAGTTTCGTTGTTTTCATTTAAAACCATTTTGCAATATCCGCAAAATTATGAAAGTAAATAATAAGACAATTGGTATGTCTACGACCGTCACTTCCCTCGGAACAAAAACAACGTCCCCTGCCGATCTTTTTTTACTGAATTTAGTTCCGCGCGCTTTACGCGAATGTTTCTTCTTTGATGCGTGTTTTATGGATGTGCGTGAATATGGAATTAGCTTAGGAAGTAGCTTGAATTGACGTCGTCATAGAGTGACGGAAAATGCTAGGTGCGGGGAGGGTGGGCGTGTGTCGTAGCGCAATGTTCACGAGTGTTCTCATCCGTTTGTTGGAAGAATAACATATTTCACGACGAACGAAAACTCGATGTCTGCAAAATGGCATTGAGTGGTTTTGTCGAATTCTTTCAGAAAGGGAAAGTATGTGTAAGGATGGTTGCATGTTTTTTTAAATCAAAATTTTATGCACGCATTCGTACTTTGTAACGATGTGAGACAGATTAATTAAAACTGACAACAAATGTTGAAAGTGCGTTGTTTTGCCGTCAGAAAAATTTAAGAATGATTGGAGGTTTCATATTAGCTTATAATTTCTTTTCAAAATGAGTGAACCAAGTAAATTTGACGTGTAATCATACCGGGCACCAATACAAGTATTTTTTTACGACAGGCATTGTGGTATTATTCGTTCATTAAATTGCATTTAGTTTGCTAATGTTTAACTGCTTAACTATGTTAAATGGGAATTGCCGGTAACCTATAAAGTACTGCGAGCTTAGTTTTATTTTTTAGCAGTAAATCGAGTCATATTTTATGTCGTTCATTTTGGTTTTAGACCTTTCGGCCGAAAAAAAGCTTCCAGCCGGGCACATTGCGATATTCTTTGCATAAACAGGCTCAAGCATCCCTCAATGCTGGTGTAAATCTGAGATCAGTTGTTCAGTTACCAGAGGGTGAAGATCTAAATGATTGGATTGCAGTTCATGGTTAGTAAATTTTATTCATCATTAATTACATTTTCTTAAGAAATTATTGGTAAATTTGTTTTATGTTTCAGTGGTAGATTTCTTTAACAGAGTAAATCTTATTTATGGAACCGTCTCAGAGTATTGCACAGCCATTACTTGCCCTACGATGTCAGGTGGTCCCAAATTTGAGTATTTATGGGCAGATAGAGATAAATACAAAAAACCAACACCACTTCCTGCTCCACAATATGTTTCCCTGTTAATGGACTGGATCGAGTCCCAGATAAATAATGAAACGCTTTTCCCTGTTTCCACAGGTGAGTTCGGTTTGTGTAAGAAATTGTTGTATGCTGTTCAGGGGTACAATTTTGTGGAGTGTTCCAATTGTTAAAAATCTTATTTTTTCCTAATGTTAGTCGTTTTTCATACCTCAATTAGTGGAACATTTCAATAATGTAAATAAGACTGTAAGGAGTCATTAGAGTGGGTAGAAAAATATATTTAGTAAAAGTTTTATTCGTGTTATTTTTTGTGTTAATTTGCTCTAAGCTGGTGTATGCCTCTATGATTTGGTCTCCAGAAAGTAAGAGCCTTCAGCTGCCCTTGGAAAAGTATCAATGAAGGTTTCTTGAATTTAGATATTGGAAATTATATGCTTTTGAGGTATGAACAATGAGTTTGATACATGTCCTCATTATTATGTTTCTTTGGTGGGACCCAAATTTTGTTCACTTCGTTATTTTGTATTAAGCGAGTTCATGCTAACAAGGGTTTACTGTACAGGTCACTTTTTCTGGGGTATTGTTTTGATGTGTTAGTGTATTCTTGCAATAAATCTAGAAATTAAAAAGGTGTAATTCTGTAAAGTAAAATATTATGTTAGTCCTGAGTTGTCATTTAAAATTATTACTTTATATTTTTTTAATTTTCTACTGCTAATTCGACTAACTTTGAAATTAGTTTTATTGTTTCAATTAGCCCTAGGGATAATACTATTTTTTATGCACTTAATTCTTGTCTTTCTTTTAGATGTTCCATTTCCGAAGACTTTTATCTCTATGTGCCGCAAAATACTTACCCGCTTGTTTAGAGTATTTGTTCATGTGTACATTCATCATTTTGATAGAATTGTGGCCATTGGTGCAGTAAGTATTCACAAGTAACTTACTAGTAGGAAGTCGTGTGCAGTTTATGATGTCTGTTATTAGAAAGCTTAGATGTAGGATAATCATAATTTGTTATTGATGCATTAAGCCTTTATCAGGTGTGTTGTAAATGTCTATAGTGCAATCAGTGGAGGCTGGAGTCCAGGAAGAGAAGCATAACTTTGTTATTTAGCAATGCAGATTCTCTACCTAGGCTCTAGTCACCACAGTTTGCACTGGCGATGGCTGCAATTCACCCAAAAAAGCTTTGTATGTCAGTAAACAATTGTATAAGTCTACATCTAAACTTTGTACAAGAAACTTGGTGTTTGAAGCATACTTTTATAATGGTCGCTTTTCAAAATAAAGTGGTGCAAAAAGTAAGGTAGAATGCAAAGTGCAATATCTTGATTAATATTACTTATAAATTTATCACAGTCAATTTATATTTTTGCATCTTCATATACTAATTCTAACGCCTTATTCTGTAGTTTCTTCTTTACTTGAAATGAATAGCAGAAAACCAGAACGATATAGCTGACATTTTATAAATTCTGAGAAAACTGTTTATTTAATTCAGTATCACTGTAAAGTCCTGGTGCTTTGTGTCATCATTAAAACCATGGCATTTCAGTTGCATGATCTTGGCTGTCCGGGTGACATAGCGTCGAAGGCTGTGTTGCCAAAGTTTCGACCATCTTGTCGTGGTCTTCCTCAGGACTGGTATGCAAGCAAACTGGCTGGTCGCATACCAGCCCTGAGAAAGACCACGAAAAGATGGTTGAAACGTCGGCAACACAGCCTTCAACGCGGCATCACCCGGACAGCCAAGATCAGGCACACAACTGGCCGCAGAAGCCTACAACTTCATGGCATTTCAGTTGTTCATTAAAACCACAGAATTACATTGGACTTAAAATATACCCTAATATAAACAATTTTTTCTCAGAATTTATAAAATGTCATTTACACCGGTCTGGTTTTCATCCATCAAAATAGTAGATACATACATTTAACCCAAGATTCTATTTTGTGTACAACAATCCCCTAAAAGTTTTTAAAAATTAAGAGTAAGATAGTTTTGTTCTAAAAGTAGTCATTTTATAAAATACCTGTTCAGATCACTATCTTGCCTTTAATTTTCCAACTCCAGTTTTCCCTAAATCAACTGAGGAAAACATATCCATAATCAGTGAGAACAGTGTAAAGATGTGCAATGTTATTGGGTATTAATTCTGTGATTTTTTTATGGATTCTAAAATCATAAATTTTCAGAAACTTTAAAATTTAATGAATAACTGAAATAACTGACCTGTGTTATGATGAAACTCATCTCAATTTTTTGTAATTATACTCAGATGTTACATAAATCTCTTGAAGCAATCAGTATTTGGTAAATTTTTAGTGTACTCTGTTTCAAATTCTTAAATGTATAAAATTGTTTATGGTCTTAACTTTTCTTATTCATTCATGCAAGCTAAATATTAGCATGAATATTCAAGCAAGTTGTATTTTGTACAGTTATGGTATGAAGATGATAATTACTGGATTTTTTTTGCAGGAACCACATGTGAATACTTGCTACAAACATTTCTACTATTTTGTACGAGAATTTGATCTTGTGAGCTCTAAAGAATTGGAGCCTCTTAAAGAGATGACCTCGCACATATGTGGTGATTATCAGGCTTCAGCTCCTTGTAGTTGAGTGATTTAAAGGTGAAAAGATGATCTATTCCTGTGTGCAGATACAATTTTTCGAGTGATGAAATTCGTTGTGATCTGTCTGAATTCAGGGACAATAATCATGTGATTTTAATAGCATTTGTTGCTGTATTCTGTCTATTGGGAAACAGTAGCATTGGAAAGCATAGTTGATAATAGTGTTTAACCTGCTATAAACAGAGGCTGTCATTAAGCATATCTTCCATGTACTTGGGAGACAAAATTAATTCTGTCTGGCTGACATGAACTGTTGTGGCAGAATTAGTTTCCAATAGCCTTAATATTTTGCATTTGTAAATTTATATGCTCTGAAATTTTTATTCCCGGTCTTGTTAAGGAATTTTTTTCTAATATCTTGTTGATTTTATTTATTTACTTTCTTAAATGTTTCTCTTCTATCATTGTACTGAGGTGAACATAGATAAAATTATCAGAGTTTGCTCATGCAGTTCTCAACTATATCTAATGAAGGCAATCACCAGTGCACTATTCAGTACAACTAGTCAAAAAACAAATAATCTTGAAACAATATCTACACTGCTCTTTGATATTTCCTACTGTCTTGTTTTTGTTATAAATCTTATTTTATTATCTGACAAAATAAAAGTCCATGTTAGTGAAGAAAAAATTAACTATAAAAATGAACTTCAATGTGGAAAGAAGCATGTTATTTAACTTCAAGAAATATTAGTTTTGAGAAGAATCTATCGAGTCGTGAAATGTCTGTTTCAAGACTAAGCGAATCTCTTGCATGAAAATCTCTCTCTTCCTCGAAAAAATAAATGGTATTCCAAGAATTTCTTGGAAGAGAATGGGACAATGTCCAAATTCTGTTTGTTTAAAACTTTATTTATTTTTTTAGCTCAGAATCAAAAAAGATATTATGAGAGAACAATGTATGTCATTAATTATTTCTTTGACAGGAAATAATTAAGTCTCCAGTTAATGTGGTGTGCCCTAAACACTTTTGATAAAATGTTATTTTCCATAATTTTTTCACATGTTTTTTCTCTTCCAAGGTGTAGAATGCATTTACATGTTCTAAAAATATGATAGTATTGCGAAGTAATTTACAAATCTAGTTTTGTACATTTGTTTCCAACTTTTGGCACATATGCAAGTTTGTTATTTTACTTTCACACACATAGGTTCATTGCTTTGGCCAAGTATATGCTTTGTATATGCTCTATTTTCTTCATTCATTGTTATTTGTTTGAAGTAATACAGTTGAAAAGGGAGCTGAGAAAACATGTGACTGTGCAAACTCAAAATTGTGTTACTGAAAATTGAATAAAATTCTTGTGTAGTGCTTTATTGTTAAAATGTTTGCAATCAACCCTTTAACTTGATTATATCATTGCTTGTATAAAACATGAAGTCAGTGGACTGAATTATATAGAAATCTGTGAAGATAATATAATTGGCTCTTCTATATTGTTTTACAAACCTTTTAATTTCAAGATAATTCTGGTTTTCTGTAATAATGTCCATTCATTAAATGATAATCTACATTCTAGTATTTATACAGGTACATTGCCTCTTCTGCTTTTTTAATTTTACCCCATGAGCATTTACAAGTTTACCTTGTTGCTTTGAAAGTATAAAAAGTTACTGTTTATGTAGATGAATGTGCAAGCCAGTTTGAACATACGCAGTGACTAAACTAAATATTTACCTCTTTGAGTCTTCTTCCAGACTAAAAAAAAAAATGGAAATCATAGGGCATCAAGTTGAAACTGGAAAAAGTGGGCCAGGTACTACCAATTTATTTTGACAGCATTAGTAACAATTGTTTCTTTAGGGAATTCCCTTCATCAAGGTAAAAGGATGTTGGCCAAGACTACCCCTAAATTACATTGTACAGTCTTGTTAAGGTCATGCAGAAATGATTAATTATTGGAAGAACACAGGATTAATTTGTTAGCATTTTTAAAATTTTATTGAAGCATGAACGACTTTAAAGCATAAACCAATTTTATCCATTTTGAGGCATATAGAATCAATTTCAACTCTTTCGATATTTTTTACATTCATTATTTTGAATACAGATTTTCTTATCTCTTTATTTGTGTTATTTTGGAACAGTTTTTTATGTATTTGCACAGGAAGGCCTTATACAATAAGTAAAATCTCCAAATATTTGTTATTTGCTGCTTTGCCAACAGTAGAAAAACGCAAACATTTGCTTAAAAGCCCTACTGCTAAAACAACCTTGTATACATGTGCACGTAGACCCTGATTTACAAGAATGGACTTTCAAACTTACTCGTAAACTTACTCATATTTGTTACAACAACAGCTACTGAATAACATGTTCTACTGAGCTCAATACAAAGCTTATGAAGTTAATTGCTCATGATAATCTGAACAAATAAAAGTATATTTAATTGCTGTAATATGGGGTTTTCTCCATTGAGTACCACTGGAATAATGGAAGGAGGATTTTGACTCAGCTAGTCGGTGATGTTTCCAAATTTGCAGTGTTGTCAAATGTCTGCAGTTTTATTTTTATTGGTGTGAATGCTGCTCTCCTGACTGAATTCTCGTAAGTTGGGGGCTGGCTGCACTCAAGTGCTGTGTTTTGTAAAGTAGAAGTGAAATAAAAAAGGAAGTTTTTTGGAGAAAAACCCTGGTTGAAAGGACATGAAGAGAGTTGGTTGACTGCAAGTGAGACTAACTCTTTTTTATACAACTTGTTAGTGTTGATATTGTGGGAGGAAAAAACTGTAAAGGAACATGGGTGGAACTTGGCATGCCATATTTTTAATAACTTGTTTATTTTTAACTAAATTTATACAATTTCTGTGCAATTTTTGCTGTAGATGCATTTTCCCCATTATATCTTTCTGCATTTCAGCCACTTGTTAATTGTAAATATATTGTGTGTGTGTGTGTGTGTGTGTGTATATATATATATATATATATATATATATATATATGCATGTTTTGCTACCTGTATTACATACAAATCAGAGCCTTGCTGATGACTGTATAACAACTAAGTGCTTACATGTCTCTGTGGGTTCTGAAAAAAAGGAACATGTGAAAACTTTTTTCTGACTGTCCCAGTTATGTGGAAATAGCTTTGGATTTAATTGGGTGTTCTGTTCAACTGTTTCTGTAGGAATTTAATACTCTTGAATTTTCACATAGGACTTGTGATCTCTAGACTGATGTTGGTGAACAATTGTGGAACAAAATTCCCATTAGGCAATAGGAAACACGAGTGCATTTGGTATTCTTGCCTTTCTGCATACCTGCAGATTTAAGGACTAAATGTAGATCCTATAAAGTTATTCTAATCTAAGCAGTACTGCTGTAACTGCATAATAATATTGAAATAATTTAATTTGACCATAATCTATGAAGTAGATGATTTTGTATGACAAACATCAAAGATTGATATCTAGTGAAAATTCAGTGGATGAAATTAAAACTTTTATTTCAAGAAACAGTAGATATTACATTGAAGTTCACTGCTTCGGGTGCCAACGGCTTAGCATGAAGGGAGGCAAGGTAGGTACTGTGCACTCATTAAAGAAAGAAATAATAGAAAAAAATAACTTGGAATAGCATATATTTATTTCTGCAGAGTATATTTTTCAATTTCAAGTCTGTTTACAAAGAGTAAGGCACAAGTCCAGTTGCTGAGTCAGAGGCTTGCCGGAAAAGAAAAGAAAAACCTAGATGGATAGATAGAGCCCATCATTTTCTAAAAGGTATTGGTCATGGATTCTTTTTAATTTTGTGTGGTAATATAATAAACAATTACACTATGTGCGAGTATAAAGGAACATAAATAGTTCTTTCTTTATATTAAAATTTTGTGATTTCATAAAGGCTCCGATTCAACATAATACGTTTCCAAAGAAATTTTCAGTATTTGTTTTCAAAAAAGGTTCCAGTGAAATGCTCAGAATGGTTGGTAACAAAAATGAATATTTGCCTGGATTACATGAATTTCTGGATGGTTTGTTTGTTTCTGTTTCATTTCATGCAGTGATTCGTATTCAATGCTTCCTTCTGCACAAGAATATTTTCAAAACAAGGACACACAAGCCATTTTTCAAAAAATGCTGCGAAAATGAAATTGAAAATAAACTATTTTCCTTTTCGTTAATTTTTAAAAAAATAGAGAAGCTTTTCTATATCCAAATGGAAACTTCACAGGAAAAACCAAAGTGTTTTCAGCAGCGGTGAAGCATAGCATTTTTGTATTGTCGAATGTGGATGTCCTCCTTTCTTAAGCGATGGGGAAGGAGGTCGCCATATCGTAGGGTGTTCTGTTTTTTTAAATGCTCAGAAAACAGGTTTATTTTTCAGATATATTTTACTTTCTTGCTCTTCGTAAGAAGAGAAAGTATTTTAATCGCTACAGAAAATGCAAATTTTGGGCAGGAAAACTCTTATTGCCGGGCCCTGGTAAAGAAAAGTGGATATATCTTGTTCATTTGTATAGTAAATTACTTTCTTTCAGAATTCATCTTTTGTAGGATCTTGATACCGAAAAATCGATTGGCGAAACTTCTTTGATCAGTGTTAGAACCTAAACCGTTCAGCCCATGGTGAAAAGACAGGTTTATTTTCTTTCCACTATGGATCAACAGATTTTCTCCAAAATTGATATTCCGCGATAGATTTAAATCAACTCGAGGCCCTTTGAGTTTGAAACGAATGTTTTTATTTTGGGTGGTATTTTACATGAAGCCTTAACATTTTCAAACATCTCATATATATTTCCCACTGATCTCTTAGATACGTACCCAGCACAGATAAGTGGAGTTATATATGGATCATTCCATGTCAAATCGCACAAGTGTAAGGAAAGTGTGACCTTGATGTCCCAGATTTTTAAACTTTTTCTGTGAAGAGTATACGCAAGACATTTTTTTATTTTATTTATGACAAAAAATTTACAATCTAGTTTTTTACAAAATAATAAGTAAATCTGATGTTGTAGAATTGTTATGACAATGATTTCCAGTGAAGGTA